GACAACAAATGATCCCTTAGTAGAAACAAATTATATGTTACTTTCAATTTGCTGCAATTTAAGAAATACTTCTCTGTAATAGAGACGTAATTAACTTAACCTACATAGACGATAACAAATGTGACTTATATCTCAGGCAATGTATGTTTACTAAATGGCAAATGATAAAAAATAATTTACAACAATAATTGTTCCATCTGTTTCTTTTATTATCGTCAAACAGTAAACATGCTTCTACTGAGGGATTTTTCTTAATGTTATTTGAATATATGCTGTTTTGTTTTACACCATATTTAGTAGAAAACATAATCACGTATCTATAGAACCTCCTTGCAAAGTTTTAGTATATTTTTAAACTTCTAAATTCAGTTATTAATTTTCTGAACAGAACAAATATATATTTGTAAAAGTTGCAAAACTTTTGTATCCGGCAAATATTTACGCTCATTAACGGTTTAAAATGCCATTTTTGAAATTTTTATTATTCTTATTGCATATGAAGCAATTTTCTAATTAATTTTTGTATGTACTTTCATTGTGTAAGAGCATTTGTAATTTTGTGCAAAAAATACGACAAGAGTCGCAGTATATATATAAAAAAAGTAATGTACCGTTTGCAGTAATAATTTGCGGGTACTAAGTTAGAGATAATAATGTTTTGTTTGACTTCATGTTAATATATGTGTACGTACATTAGGTTTCTATTAAAATATGTATACACATCCATCTACTAACGCCACTGATGTAGCATTCGTGAACTGCTATGTCACATATGTACACACGTACATACGCATGTGTCTAATTTTTCATGACAAAATATACTTTCCTAAAGTATATTTTTGGAGATTGGAAGACAGCGTTCCCCTACGAATATTTTGTTGTGTACCAATAACTTATTTCATAGCAATCACAAGTTTTATATAAAACACATATTGCTTTATGGAGACAAATCCAGACTCCATATTCAGAATTCTTTTTCATTTCTGGGATAAAATCTTTATTTACATTAAAATGTATACTTAATCGGGTAAACGGATGTGCAATAAAAACGACATATTATCATATGAAATTTTAGGGCGTCTGATGGTATTCTGACATACACACACGCGGACGCACACATATACATCTTCTTAATGCATAGTAACTAATATATATATATTCTAATGGAGTCTGAATATGGAGTCTGGATTTGTCTCCATCAAGCAATATGTGTTTTATATAAAACTTGTGATTGCTATGAAATAAGTTATTGGTACACAACAAAATATTCGTAGGGGAACGCTGTCTTCCAATCTCCAAAAATATATTTTAGGAAAGTATATTTTGTCATGAAAAATTAGACACATGCGTATGTACGTGTGTACATATGTAACATAGCAGTTCACGAATGCTACATCAGTGGCGTTACTAGATGGATGTGTATACATATTTTAACAGAAACCTAATGTACGTACACATATATTCTAATAATATTACTAATAATTTTCAACAACATGCACAGATATATGCATTAGAGACAATTGAAAATCGTATTAACATCATCATAATAATCAATCGTAATGATATGATCGTAGTAATAAAGCATGTAGAAGAAAACATGCAATAATCGACATTCGTTGCAGCACTCGGCAGCTTTTATCTTTTTTTGCCCGAATTTAATTAAATATTAAGATGTATGAGAACTTATTAATTATTTATTGAACATTTGCCAATTATTTATTATTTGTTTATTTTTAAATCCCTATACTCTTTTAAATACCTATTCCTACTCCTTAATATTTCATGAAACCTACGCAAGTGTACCAAAAATAGGCAGAGTGTCGACGATTGAAAGTTTTTCCTTACTTCTCTTTAATCAATAAACGAAGACTTATCATTGATGCTCTTATGTCAATTTCAAGGAATATAAATTCACAATAAAACTTATGGGCATACATTTCTTGTCATCAAGTTCGAACTATTAAGTGCAATCGAGTATTGAATCGGTATATAGAGGGGATTTATATCAAATAAAATATCATGATTGTAGAAAAATGACCATATCGATATCGCATAATTAATATATTCATATTAAAATCAAAATTTATACTAAAACCAAAATTTATATGTATATTACAGAAATTAATTAATATTTTGTTCACATGTTTTTCAACTCAATAGAATACTATTCCTTATACTTCCATGAAATCTTTGTAACACTGCATGTATATTTAAGTCCAAACAAACTTATATGATACTTGTTGGTTTACAAATGCTAATATCTTTCAGAAAAATTCTCCTCGTGTAGTAGTTGCAATCGAATTGCATAACTATCCGATGCAAATAAAATGCACGACGTATCTACATGACATTTTCAGATCTGGTAAAACTCATCGTTATTAAAGCTAAAGTGAAGCAAACGAATTTAAGTACATGAAATACTTAACGAGGTATTTTCGAAGCTTTCGGAAGCCGTTTCGCGCGAAAATAGCTGACCTGTTTTCATACGATCAGAAATTAGGAAGAAGAAGGCTAGACAACGCGCAGAGATTTGCATGTACAGCGACCATGGATAGATAGGCGGCAGTAGCCAATGCGATGCCACGAGGTCGTGCTTTATTAATAGGCCGGGCCGGTTATACAGAGCAAGTAGACGCCTCCAAATACTCCCTCGAGAAAGTGCTCACGTTTCACTTATAGATTTCTCGTTGAAGTGCAACGTAATTTTGTGCGATTCCTCGAACACGAGTAACAGCGCGTGAATGAGATTGTTCACGAAATTGGATGCACAATGAAAAAAAGACGCCCGACGTCGTGATTTTCATTCATTGCAACTTCCTCCATCTGCTTCTTCCATCTCCTCATATCTTTGACAAATAATCGAGGGATTTCGCTACGCAATTACTTGAAGAAACACTCGAAAAAAACATAAAAAAATAATATATAAAAATTTGAAAATATGTTCAACTTCCCGGATGGAGTGTGAGGATATTCTATGAATGTTCTATGAATATTTCTTACGAATATTTGTACATTCTATAAATGTACTACAAACATTATTATACATTCATAATATATTTATAGTATACTCAATTAACCAACTATAAATTATTAATAAATATGTATAGAATATTTAAGAAAGGTAGGTTAATTATACATTGATTTTGCTTTTACAATTACAAAAAAGTAATTCATGTATTTCATTTTATATATAAATTTTATTGCTAAACTATAATAAATGCATATTATTTAGGACATTTGGAAAATTTTTCAGTTATATGAATACATTGCACATGCATTGCATGCATTGCATGCAGCAAATAAATCTTACGAATGTTCTAAGAACGTTTTTTTCTATTATAAATATATGAATCTTTGTCTATATACAATATTGTGTAATATTTATAGAATATCCGATTTATATATTCTGGAATTAAGAACTAATTAAAGTACTCATAAATATTCAGAATACTCATAGAATATCTTGTGCTATTAAGTTTAAAAATGCCTTTCTTGAAAAGAACAAACGAGTAACTTAATAATTTATGCAACTTTGACTAGCTTTATTTATGTATACTCACTTTTAAAACGGTTTGAACACCTTTTTTCGATGTAGTTCAAAACGCAATCGATGGTTCAATAAGAAATAAGAAATCTTAACGTCTAAATTTAATAAAAAATACATTCTTTTATTAAATCATCGATTTCGTTCCAAAGTGCATGGAAAAAAAGTGCTTAATTTTTGTAATTGAAACCAAATGTATATATGGTATTCGATCATCGTTTTATATTTAGGGACAGTATTCAATCTGATTCGTTTCTCTTCTCTATTTCTATTCAGTCAATATTATACTCAGTCGCTGTATGTTTCGATCATAACCGTGACTTTCGGTAAATTACTCTATATGGCGACACGCCAACTATTACTTTGCCATCCTATTACTCAAAGCTCGCCTTTATTGGGCTCATGATGACGATCTTGTCGTCGAATTCTCGCCTCATCTCGACGGTCACGTATTTTCGGATACAAGAATGCGGTTCCCGTATATCGCTTTCTCATTTGCAAATCTCGATCCATACGAATTGAAACAGTTTTGTATAAGCTATACATATAACTACATGCATCTATCGATTGCGTGGTTAAAGTAATCTAAATTTTTTACATGATATTAGTAATTAAAAATGTATATATTAGAATTATTCTTAATTTAATCTTTAATATCTCCACTTCTTATGCCGAAGACAAACAAATATAGAACAATATATTAGCGAACATTACAATTAAAACGTCAGAACCATGTATGCATTTTATATTTCCAAAACATTTTTAAAAGAAATGTTAAGAGTGTTTATTTATGCAATCATACGACAAATGTATACAAAATAAAGAATAACATTTATAAACAATGTATTGTTTACATTCTTATATATATATATCGATGTAACGTGATTGATGAACGTGATTAGTATTCAGCGAACGTAAAGGTTGTACAATCATAGTTGTACAACCGAGTAAAATTGATCTATGATTGGTGTGATTTTTAAATTTACCAATTGCATCCATCTTCCAAAAGTCGATCATTCAACCGTTGTGTTCGCTAAACGCAGCCTTTAGTGATCCATTGTGCCTATTATGTTCAAAACACACTAGTTGTCGCGGAAGGATCATTGGTAGCAATACAAACCGAAGAATAAATGCAAAAAGAAGAGTCTTTTACCTTTAAGATTCGGAAGATTAGCGTCGATGGCAGTAGTACGGCAAATCCGCGCCTTCAGGAGACTGCGCGAGTAGCTGTCTCGTCACCAGTGAACTCGCCGTTTTGGTGGTTATTGGCGATGGCGGTAGTGGTGGCGGTGGCGGCGGCAACGGCGGCGGCGGTATACTGCGCTGGATGATTCTCCGCTATCAACGTTGCCGTTAAAAGCATAGCGTCACCGGACCCAAATTAGACGGTCCGAAATAGCAAAATTATTAGCGATGGCGGCGGCAGCGACAGCGCTATAGTATAACCGGTCTATACGCAGCATACCGTAATATCCGACTGCGGAGAGTAAACGGGATACGGTCCAATACGTTTCCGCTACCAATATGTGCCACTCGATGTGGGACTCGTTCATCCGGCATGGACACAGAAGATGTTGCGATCTCAACGTAAAACATTCTCGCGCAAAAAAGTTTCGGGAAAAGTGCAAGTGAAATGCGAAATCTGAAGTGTGATGTTATCACATCGTTAAACTAAAAGGAAGGAGTTTGCGAAAGTGCTAAGTAACACACTTATTATTTCGACGTTGAAAACATCGACACTCGTAATTACAATTATTAGAATAATTAAGCTATAGATCTTGCATCAATTTTTCAATCCTTTTATAGATTATAGTAATTGTGCAGTGAATGGAAAAATGAAAAAGGAGTTACAAATGTATTTTGACATATTATAGGGAAATTCATTTTTTTAACCCTTAACATGCCTTAAATTTAAAATTTTTCATGCTTAGAGATATTTTTATTATATAATAAGCCTCCCATGTTGGAGGTTATTATAGTTTTTCTATTATTTAAATCTTTATTATTATCAATATTATAAAATTACTGTTTTTATTACTATCAATATTATAAAATGTATGTAATTTTTTTTTATCAAATGTAGTAACATATACTTGTGTATATATTTTACTTAATCTATAACATTTATAAATGTTATTTTAAGCATTGTGTTTGCGGGTGAGAAAATCAGAAAGACATTATTTATATGCTTTTAAAAATATAGTTTCATTCTTTATTTATTCAAAGTATAAAAACGCAATTCTTTATTATTAATGAAAACATTTATTATTTACGCATTGCATTGTTTTTCCAGTGTGCATATTATGCTCAAATATTAGATGATAAATCAAGATGATTAAATATTAGATTAAATCGTCAGAAAATTAATAGATGGAAACATTAAAATCATTGATTCACGATTTGTTGTAAGTAAAAGTTCCCTTATATGTCGGCATTGATGTCGCCTGCATGCCATGCTACATGCCACACGATCCATACACTCACGCATTTCATTGTTACTGTATTTCGTCATACGAGATCATTAATAGTCGGAAAATAAAAAATAGAGATTATATGGTAACGTATAAACTCTATTATTATGCGAAAATAGTAATCCTAATATTTCTATAACTTTTGTTCAATATTTAATAGTTATGCAATCATAAATATAAACAATGAATCGTTGAAGTTTAAAGTAAATATTTAATACTATCTTGCCACACTTGGATCATTTTTAACCAATCTATTTTTAATCTTGAATTTTCGGCAAACTAGTGAAATGAGGATTCTTTGCGCTAAAAAGCTATAATTGTCAGGAATAATAAGTTTAAATACAGTTAAGCAATTTTAATTACCTGTCCTACAGAAAAGGTATAACATTGTTTTGGGATTATTTTCGGCTGCAGTGTACCAGATTAAGATGTGAAAGTGTAAAATAAAGATAATTTTTTTTATAATTCAATTCTTTGCACTAATCTCCATCGTTCCATCGCTCAGAAAATTACCTCAATTTATATAATATTTGCACGTATCTCTCAGATATTACCATATTTTAATAAAACTATTAATTGATTAAAACCAACTTTTTCTATATTTCTGAATATTCATAAATTCTTCTAATCACGAAACGTAACTGTGTAAAACTATAATCTAATTATGTACATCAAATTAAGAGACAAAATTTTGAGCTACATGGGATATTTTGAGTCATATAACAATGAAAAGCAGAAGATGTTAAAAGAAGAAGATAAATGGAGAGGGGCGTAATTTTACTGCTCATCGTTTGGCCACAGCGCCACTTCGAAATTAGGGACTGTATATAACAAATATTGCAAGAGAGAGAGAGAGAGAGAGAGGAGGAGGAGGAGAAGGAGGAGGAGGAAAAGAAAGAGAGAAGAAGAAGAAAAGAGAAAAAGGGTTAAATATAACATATAAAAGAATTGTATTTAAATAGCTTTTTTACATATTTCGTGTTATATTATATATAATTAAGATTTCTGTACCATCATGAATCATGAATCAAAGAAAAAATTCAGGTAAATAATTCTCTTTGTAATAATTTTAATAAAATTTATATTATATATAATTATCACACATACACATATACACCGCAAAAACATGAAACTATTATTTATTTCGTTTCTTGATTGAAAAAATGATGTGTTTTCGTATATTCAGATAATTATAATTTTTTATGAATTATAAAATGTGTAATATTCTTTTCCTAAAAGTTCAAATATCAATAATTCTAGAATATTAATATTTTTTAATTTTCTTCTTTTAGAAAAATTAAAAATTTCTATGTAAATTTTTATTTTTATCGCGTTTTTTCATATTTGTTTTTTTATGTTATAATAAAATAAAATATTTGATTAAAAAAGTTTACTAGTACTTCTTATAATATTCTATAATTATATTCTATAATTATATTCTATAATTCTACGAACTTCAAAGTATACTTATGACTTTTTAGATTTTTATTAGCACTTTCACGAAATTTAAATATACAAAATCAAAAACGACTTTAACATGCCGAATTAAGTTGCCAGAAAAATATGTACTATATAAGGATTAATAAGTGATTCATAAACCCATATATAGTTTATGCTTTGAATGAGCAACAGGAGTTGGTTTGGTGCAAGTAAGAAAACCAGATCAGCTGATTCGAAGTAAACCTGTCTCACACTGCTGCTGTTTCGTATCTCACTTTCTCTGTTCTTCCTTTCTATCGATGATCGCGGTGACAGCCCCACCCGCGGCATCACCCTCTCTCCGAGGTAATCCACGAGGTCATCCGTCCGTCAGTGGAAACCGCTTTCCAAGTAGAGCCTGTTAACCTACTCGAGCTTCAGTACACTCACTGCCTTCGGTTCTTCGCGCTGTGCGAAGCATAAGTGCGCTTTTGATCTATGTCAAAGATCTCGTAGACGTATTCGGTAACTTGGGTAACTAACTTTGGATGCTGATAGATCAACTTTATAAGCAAAATCGTAGGTAATCTTCTACAATCTTTTGAGATTTAAGTATATATATCAAGGACAAACACTCTCTTTTGGCTCACTACAGCCGCGAGATTACGGTTAAGCATAATGTACTAGCGTGTCGGCGTCTCAGATGGTCTTAGCTCGAATTTTCGTTTTGTTTATGATCAATCAATTAGAAAAGCAAGTTAATATTTTCCAACTATAACGCGAAGTTCTAAAGACGCCTAAAATATATTGAAATGTCTATAGCAAAATTGAATGACGAATTCGCGATGTCTTTTAAACATTTTTACTTTGTACGTGCTCTTTATTGTCGATATTCTATTTTATTAAATAAAAAATATCTAATGTTTTGACTTTCTAATGTTTATATGGTGTGCAAAATATATAATAATACAACGCACAAAGAAGAATTTATTCATAAACGTAATCTACAGTTCTTTATCCAAAATCAAGGATTCATACAGAAATTTTATATTTGAATACATTAAGGTCCAGAGACTGATCCGAGAAAATGAAAGGATGGTTTGATGCCTTTCGTAATGATGGCGGCCCAACACTCTATAGCTACAGCAATCGCACTCCCGTTACAGGTGACGTTCCTCTCATCATCGTATTCGTGGTATTCGGTACCCTGTTCACAGCATTCTTAGTTATATTCCCAGGTGTCAGAAAAGAGGTGAGCAAATTTCTCGCTTTTTAGGCAAATTATATAATGCATTATACACACACACACACACACACACACACACACA